CACACCTGTCAGGACATAATGCACACCTGTCAGGACATAATGCGCACCTGTCAGAACACAGAAAGGTCACAGCGGGGTCTTGCCAGACTTCAGTTCGAGAAAGTAAAGAGTTTCTGATGGAGTGGTCCAAAGTCTCTCCTGTGATGTGTGTAAATCTGATGAACAATATTTATTTTACTGTATAATACTATATTTAACAACTGTAATTCTCAGACTACAAGCCGCACATATTAAATACAAGATAAATCATAATTTTGTACATAAATAAGATGCCCTGGCTATTAAGCCGCGGGTATCCACTGTTCAATAAATGAAAGTGCCCAGCTTGATCTGTGCTGTTTCTTGTTGCAATACAAGAATCAGCCACTGGATGGCGCTCATAGACTACAGCTTGTTTTCAGCATTTACTAAGACTGCTTGATGATCACAGGTGAAGCTTCACTATCTGACTCATGGTTACAACCATTATACATTCAAAATGAACAAAAATAAATATCTAAACATAATCACTGGACATTAAAGTGCTAAACACCTACGTAACTGAAATTATTTAAAAATTATATACCGAGAAATATTACCCAGAAGTCTTAATGAGGTCATGTGGCCAGAAGTGAAATAGTACAGATAAAATGTTGTAAATATTCATTAAATCACTGGTAGTACCACTGATTTTTATTTTTAAACAGCACAGGTATCAGTGCTGTTTTTAAGTCGACCTTTACTTTCTAAATTATCTTAAATAAATATGACAGGATTTCTCCTCTGCGCTAATGAGGAGGGGAGGGAGTAAAGGGAAACAGCCCACCCCCCTTGTCTCCACCGCTCAGTTTTACGCGTGAGATTAGCTTAAATGAGATACTGGTATTTAAACACATTTTCCGTAAACAGAAAGATTTTTTTAAACTTTGATTTGAATATGTAGCAGTGTTGACTGACTGACTGCTTTAAAAATAAATCTGTTGACTTCTCCGCTGAGCTCACATGATGGGGGGAAGTGGGAACAGCCCCTCCTGTTGTCTCCACTCCGTTTAATGTTCGGATGCAAGCTGAAAATGAGATCTCAGTATTTAAACACACATGTACCGTACACAGAAAGATGTCACACAAAGAGTTTTAAAACTTTTATTAAAATATGTACAGGCTCGACTGCTCAGTTCCGCTCAGCAGAGCCCACGTCGTGACCAAGGGGAGGGGGACAGCTTTAACACGGCCAAAATTTTTGTTTAAAAGTACCGATCATCGACCAGAGTCACTCATCGCTCTGTTCTTTGTCTTCCTGTGCACTGAACCATGAAAGTCCTCTTCTTCGGTGTCAGAATTGAAGAGGCTAAAAAAACCACCATGGCACACTGGCTCCTTGTTGCTCTTGACATCACTGTCCCTAGTGCTGTCCGCATCATCCCACAGCTGTCCATCCAAAGGCTGTGCTGTGCACGAGGCGTAAAAGACAGGAACTGATCTGAAGAATTTAGTGTTTTTTAACCTTTGCTTACTGTAAACAGGAAGCCTCATTAATGCACGTGCATCTTGGAGGATGGGTCAGTGACAGCATCTCGTTGGTCATTAAGGTTACACTTCTGGTCACGTGATGACAGAGTAGGTGGAGTTATGGTAGTTAATTTGAAACCATGACCTAGAGTCGTAGCACATGTGATTACCTGTAGGTGTGGAGTTTTATCAAACTTGTTGTTCAGTAAAATTTAGCAGACTGAGAACTTTGTTAAAAACACGTAGTAAAGTTTATTTCTCTTCTGCAGAAGGGAGAACACATGAAACGAAAACGCAGCTCAGTGAGTTCTTGTGTGTTCTCTAAAAACGTGAGCAGTACGGCTTCATGTATACACCTTCACACGTAACATGTTTTGACACAACAGGCGTTACCTCATTTGCAATCATCAGAGTAAAAACAGACAGTGACAGTGGTCAGTGACTGGTTCTGGAGCTGGGTTTGAGAAACGGAAGTTACAAAGCTTCACACACTGATGCTGAAGGGGTTTATCTGCTACAGTTTATGATAAGCTTTACCAGAGTGTGATATAAAGTAAATGACTAATAAGAGTGATGATAAAATTGATGAGCAAAATAAACTGGTATCAATGTTTTCATTTCCACAAAGTACTGATCCTTTCTGAGACTCAGAGCTAAAACTGCAGGCAAACACTTTAATTATCATTTTAAAGTAAACTGTAAATTGTGTAAACATATCAAACTTTTATATTAACAACCTAGAAAATATCAACACAGGCATTCTCGCTGTGTCTCAAAAGTCTGCCCCCATGAAGGGTGGGGTCCTGGGTGCCATGAGTAGGGCTGAGTACCGAACTGAGGTTCTTTTATGGCACCGACCGAACTGCACCGGTCGGTGTATGGATTGAAACGTCACTCTTCTTTCGGTGTCAAGTTTCAGTATTGGCTGTAACATGTCACATGGTTTCAGCATACAGGCAGGCAAAACACCAGACATATGACAAACAGACTACACCCAGATTACATCCAGAGCTGTATAGAGCTGCCGTACCTAATCTATGTATAATGTATGTCTATGGTGCTGGTGACGCCACAGACAAGTTCACGTGTGCAGCGCGTGTTGTCAAACAGCTTCGACAACACGCGCTGCAGAAAGTTGCTCCGTGTTTTTCTGCGAGGAGAGAAGAGTTCATTAGCCTCCCTCCTCTTCCTCCTCCTCCTCCTCCTCCTTCTCCTCTCACCATTAAAGTCAGCCTGTGAGAGCCTGAACGTCCTGATTCATCATCTCCACGACCGGACTCTTCATCAAAGAACTCCGAGGACGGCTCTGTGAGTTTCAGCTGGTGAGTTACGTTTGTTAGCGTAACTGCAGCTTAACTCGTACATCGCGGTGAAATAAACTATGATCCATGTAACGCTAACTTTAAGATATTAGTGTGTAAATTTATTTTATCTATGTAGCTAGCTAAACTCAGAAGCTAACTAAAGATTGACAGTAACATAAATCTTAGCTTGTAAAAATGTGCTCATCCATCCAGTCAGCTGCTTAAACATTTCACTAATGTTCACTGTTTATGTTAATGTTCTCCTCACAGGAGGTTCTGACCCAGATGTGAGGACAAAAAAAAGCGAGGTGGGAGCCACAGGACAGTCAGACTTTGTTAAAAATTTGCTGCTTTTTCTACAGTGGAGCTGCATGTTGGAGGTAAATTAAATTTTAAAGGGTTTTGTTGACCATTTAAGCTTTTATCTCTCAGCCTAGATAATGTTTTTTGATCAATAATAACACAACCATGTTATTGTTGATGTTTTGTTCTCATGTCAATTAGGGAGATGATCAGAGCCCTAAACCCCAGAGAACCCCAGAGAAGATCCAGGCAGAGACACAGAGGTGCAAAAGTCTGCATCAACTCTACCTCAGTGAATCCAGTGACCTGCTGGTGGTTGTGAGGGACAATATGTCAAACTGACAACCAGGTATCTGTGTGTGCAACAATCATCATCTACAGCCTCAGAGTGAACATGTTCTACTGCTGGAGACACCATCAGGCAGGAGCATCTTGTCTTGTTTGTGTCCAGAGAAAACAGACATGTTGATGTTTCTGAAGAAAAACTGTTCAGTGAAAAGATCCTCAGTGTGTAGCAGTGAGCATTAGACACGGACATGTCACTGGTTTGAAACTGGTCTTTTGACCTGGAAATTATTTGTTTGTTTTAATGAAAGAAAACTGTTTGGAATAGAAAAATACCGAAGTTAAAAAATAAAACTCATGATTTGTACTGTAATGTGTAACGTAATTTTATTCTTGTTAGAATTAATAGTGATTACAAAATTGGTACCGAAAAAAGAACCGTCCAGGAACCGACACCGAAGTGAAGGTACCGACACCGGTACCAATACCAATTTTTTTAGAAAGGTACCCAGCCCTATCCATGAGCACCCAGCCTTGTCAAACGAAAATCTTGGACAGTGGCATGAGGCTACTGAGAGATGGCAGGAAGTCTTTCAAGATAAAACAAAAAATACATAAATTTTGTAAAAAAAATACATAAATAAGACACTACTGCATATAAACTGTGGGGTGAAATCCAAAATCCATGCAAGTATCGGTGGCATCAATACGATACTGATACTTTTTGCAAATACACCTAATGTGACTGGTAAACCTAAAAAATGCAGTGTATTCAAATCAAAGTTGCATAAAGAATGCAAGACAAAGTAATTTATTTATTTATTTTAAACTGAGGAATATGTTGATGCAGTGGCCTCATTTAGTCTGAGCTTATAAAACGAACAGAACATCATACAAAATATGTGAAAATGCTTTTCAAACAATAAAAATAAGAAAAGAAGGAAAATCATAAAAAGTATTAAAATAAAGTATTAAATATCTATTAAATAATGAGATATGCTTAAGATACTATGTTATATTTGTATCCACATTTTTGTAGTATATATTTTTCAGAGTTCACCAAGTCTGTTTTGCTCCATTGCTCTGTATCATTTAACGACACCTGGTCCATGTAATCCACTTTAAATGATCATTTCTTTATGAAACCTGTCCTGAATGAATCTGGGCTTTTTGCCATGTGACATTATGTCAGTGATACATATTATTACTCCAAACTGAACTCATGCAACTATTTGTTGAAGCATGAATTATTTTGTTATTTGTTTCATAACCATATGTATTAATTTGAACAACTCCAACTGCAGCAGTTCTTAGCTCTGCTGAAAGCTCCACATTTCCTCCCGCTGTACCTGGATAGTCCTGCAGCCCTGAGGGACTCCTCCAGAGCAGCAGCACCTGACTCTCCTCCTCTGTCCACCTCATCACTGCCTCATACTCTGTGTTGTGATTTAACAGGAAGTGTTTTACAAGGTTTGTTGTGTTGCTACAGCTCTTTACAGATTTTCCACAAACCTCACAAACCACTTCTTGTCTGTTTCTGGAGCTGAAATAACTCCACACACGCCTCTGTTAAACTCCACCGCTGTGTCCACAGACTGAGAGACTGACGAGCCGCGTGCCGCTCCGCTGAAACGCATTTACTCAGGTGGAAGAAAAAGTAGTTCCCTCCAACCGCATATCATTTAGACAAGATCTCAATAGTTTAGTTACTTTCCACCGTCTTCCTGTTAATGATATGCATTACCTGAAATGACTGAAGTATCAAAAGTATCGATAGTTTGATTTAAACATGGATTCTAGAGCAAAACGCTCTGGTATTGATAGTATCGATATTTTAGCATTGATCCGCACATCACTACTGTGAGACAAAAGTAGCGGCTTAAAGAACGGAAATTACAGTATATTTACGTTATAATTCTTATAATGCTGGAAGTAATAACTTGTAGTTTTGTGATCTCTGGACCTTCGCAAGCTGCTTAAAGGAGTCTTGAAGCCAGCAGAACTCCTAATATAAAACTGTAGATGGTGGTAGCACTGGACCAATAACAGCCTGCTGAAAAGTTTCTAATATAGTTTAACAAAGCTTTAGTCAAGCTTAATATTTAAAAAAAAATCATAAATGACAGAAGAACCAAAAATCGCAGTCATCATCTCCAGAACAAGTTTAAAAATAGAAGTTGTAACGACAGGAGTTTAGTGACAAAAAACAGCAGATTAGGAACAGACAGGAACCCAAAAGTTTGCTTTTCATTCAGGTAGAAAAATCTAAAAAAAGTTAAGTCTGGTCTTCTGGACGTTCAGAAAACGAAAACAAAAAAAATGTAGAAATGTTTCGTCTCACATCCAAGAGACTTCCTCAGTCTGAGGTGCTGTATTCAGCTCAGTCTCTTAAATAGCACCTTCTCAGAGTGGATCAACCAGTTTGCTGCTGACAACCAGAACCAGCTGATCACTTGGTCAAGAAGGACCATCAGACTAACGATGGATCATTAGTAGGGGTGTAACGGTACACTAAAATCACATTTCGGTTCAGTTCAGTTTCAAGGAGGGAACAGTTCGGTTCATTTTCGGTACAATAAATGCCAAAATGAAGATTTACAAAATGTTTATTTTGAAAATATGCCAAATGAACAATACTTTTGTATAAAAATAAATAAAAGCAACCCATTTAGATGATATTTTAAATAAACATCACTCTTTACAATAAATAAACTATACTACTAATAATAAAGATCTTAATAAATACAGAGTCAGAGATTCTTTATTGTCATTCGCACCTCATGTGGTACATGTGGTGGAGTGAAATTATGTCCACAGGGTCCCAGTTACATCCAACAATAAAATGTAAATGAAAAACAATGATAACATCAAAGATATGAGCTAAGAAAAACCAGCTAAATATACACTAAGCACTCATAGCATAAAAACATCACGTCGAACATCAGCACAAACCTGACCACAAGTTCTTGTAAGCAGATGAGCACGCATGAACACATCAACATTGAAACTGATCAGCAGCAACATGAAACAGATCAACAGCAACATGCAACAGATCAACAGCAAC